AGGTGCAGGACCCTGCACTTGCCTTTGTTGAACTTCAGGAGGTTCCTCTCTGCCCATCTCTCCAGCCTGTCCAGGTCCCTCCAAATGGCAGCACAGCCCTCTGGAGTATCAGCCATTCCTCCTAGCTTGGGATCATCAGCAAACTTGCTGAGGGTGCACTCTGTCCCTTCACCCGGGTCATTGATGACTACATTGAACAAGACTGGACCCAGGACTGACCCCTGGGGCACACTGCTGCCTACAGGCCTCCAACTACACTCTGTGCCAGACCATAACCCTCTGAGCTCAGCCATCCAGCCAGTTCTCCATCCACCTCACTGTCCACTCATCCAACCCACACTTCCTGAGTTTACCTAGGAGGATGTGATGGGAGACAGCGTCCAAAGCCTTGCTGAAGTCCAGGGAGACAACATCCACTGCTCTGCCCTCACCTACCCAGCCAGTCACTCTATCAGAGAAGGCTGTCAGGTTGGTCAATGCAGGTGCAAATGTGCAATGCAAACGCCGGTGCAAATGCACGGTGTAAGCGCACGGTGCGAATGTACGACGCGAAGGCGCTGCATAAAGGCGGGATGCAAACGCACGGTGCATGCACCGCAGTCCGAGCACTTCCCTCCTGTGAAGGAGGGAGAGGAACAAGGCGACATTTCCACGCTCCCAGAGCCTGGCCACCAGGGCAAGCCCAGCCTGAGGTTTAGGCCAAGGATCTCTCAGCCACCCGGGGCGAAGGAGCGGAGGGATGAAGTCGCATGCGAGATCAGAGCTTTTCTCCCGGGCAGGGAGCATATGCGTGGGGCAATGCGGCGTCAGTCCCGGTGGCGCTTCGCTCACCGTTGGGCGTTGCTCGCGATCAAAACTGGGAGCGCTCGGACTAAGGGATCTGCTTCTGCCAACACCCGCGTCACGAGCACGCCAGGCATCAGCCCGGGTGGCTGCGGGAAAGCAGCCGGGGGCTTGCACGGGTCCCAAAGCAGGGAGCTTCCTGGCGCCCTGCCATGCTGGCCGGGACCCACCGACGTGCCGGGCTCTTTGCTCCGGGAAGGACCCGGGAAGCCAAATGCGAATTTGCAACAGAAGCCCCACGTCCCCTTTGCCTTCCCGGCAGACTCCAAAGTCTGGCCTTGAGCCTTGTTTCTGCATTTTTGCAGCCCCTGATTGCCCCCGGTGCCCGTGCAGCCCCCGGAGCAAAGGACAAAGGCAGCAGCGATGCTACGTGGAGCTAAAAAGCGATATTTCTTCCTGGAAAACGAGCAGGGATAAGGAAAAAAAGTGATGAAAGCAGAGCAAGAAGGAAAAGCGCTTGCCCGGAGAGCTGCGCTTTCCAGCGGGTGCCAAATAATGTCATTACGGCCACCAACGCA